TTTCCAAGGGATGTGGAGTAGCCAGAAATTTTGCATATAAACTGTGCGCTTTGTAGTATTGAGGGTAGAAGAAACGTTGTAAAATATGATTTAAATTTATATTTGGTATATTTCAACATTTTTGTCAATTTTTACTTTTTCAAAATATTCAGAGGGAAAAGAAGGCTGATTTGCGCCTCTTCCGGCCCCATGTTGGGGCCCCCTATGCGACTGTGTGACCTTCCTAATAACCTTTTACACTCAAAACATGACATTATACTCAGGCCAACCCTAAACGCGCAAGAAGTACTCACAAAGGTGCAAAGGATTCGAACCCACGATTTCAGTGTTCGAGCGAGCGAAGACAGTTCATGCTTCAGACCGTGCGGCCACTGTGACCGGCCACTGATAACGGTAATTATTTTAATGGTTGGGAGAGGAACATTTTGAGGAAGGTGTAGACCAGTAACTGAGCAAGGAGTTTGGAGAATCAAAACTAACGAAAAAGCGAGGGAACTGTATGAAGCCCCTGATCTGGTAGCGAGTAATGAAAGGAGAAGTTGAGAGTGATCGGGGTGTGTGGTTCGAATGTATCAAACAAGAGCGGCTAAGGAAAATCTTGTAAGTAAAGTAAAGTAAAGTAAAGTAAAGTAAAGTAAAGCTATCCCTGTAACAGACCGTGAAGGCCCATAGAGTTGTGAGACGTTGAGGCTCCCGCATTATCTAGACAATCGGTTCAAAGATGGCGGTAAGGTTGTCAGCCTTACGCGCCGGCCGCGCTTTACTCCCCAGGAAAATTATTTAATTAATTCCTGGTACTCATTTCTGTTAGAGACTGATTCGACCCCAGGGCCATAGTGCGGCTGGAAGGATTGGGTGTATTGAAAAATCCAATGACCTCATGGGGTCTTGAACTCTCGACCTTCCGGCTTGTAGCATAGTGCTTCAACCAACTACGCTACCGCGTGTAAGTAAAAGAAGCGGGAAGGCTCAGGCTGGAATCACTCTAAGATGGAGAAAGTACTGGATTTGCCACTCTCGCAGTGGGGGCTGCGCAAAGTACTATTTTCTTGGGGTGTGAAGCCTTTCAGTCCGTTAGAAATGAACTTCTATCGGTTTACACGGCCTCACAGCGCAGAAGGGAATGGTTTAGGGAGGTGAAATTCAAGAGATAAAGGCAAATAAGGGTAGTAATAGGGATCAAGGAGAATAAGATGGGCAGGACATGTAGCACGAATGAGGAGACGCGGAATGCTTATAGGATATTGGTGGGAAAGCCAGCAGGAAAGAGACCACTGGGAAGATCAAGTCGTAGGTGGGTGAACTATTAAAATGGATCTTAGAGAGATAGGATGGGATGGTATGGATTGGATTTATCTGGCTCAGGATAGGGACCAGTGAAGGACTCTTGTGAACATGGTAATGAACCTTCGCGTTCCATAAAATGCTGGGAAATTCTTGAGTAGCTGCAGATTTGGCTTCTCCTCAAGAAGGGCTCAGCTCCATACGTTAGTAAGTAAGTAAGTAAGGGTCATAGGGAAGAGCGATGATCGCTTGCTAAGGAAACCAGTGTTACTTGACGCCCGTAGAGGCAAGGAGTAAATAGGTAATTATTTCAGAAGTTATAACTAGGAATTGTGAAAAGACATAGAGCAGTTGTAAACAGACCTTCGAGTTAGGAACCTAACCAAAGCGCACGCAGATGTAAACAGTTCGTTAAGTCATGCAATTCTGGCATGCATAGAAACTGATCAAGGCAAAGGACGGGCATAATTGCACTGTGACGCAATAAACCTGGAGTGTGTTGACTTCCGCGGTCAGTCTTTCTGATGACCATGAAGGTCGACTCTAGTAGTACGACATTTTGCGCCAGACTTGTACTTCTTACGATGTCCGGCAGAGGCGTTAACTGTATCTCACTAAATTTTGTAAGGAAGAAGAAAAAAGGTAAATGTATCCCTGTAACTGGCCCCGCAGGAGGCCCATAGGGTTGTGAGACGTTGAGGGTCCCACATTATCTAGACAATCGGCTCACAGATGGCAGTAAGGTTTACCCCCCAGGAAAATTCCTGGTATTCATTTCTGTTAGAGTCTGAGTCGACCACAGGGCCACAGTGCGGCTGGATGGGTTAGATCAATTGAAAAAAAAAATCTAATGACCTCGTCGGGACATGAACCCGCGACCTTCCGGCTTGTAGCATAGTGCCTCAACCAACGTAAATCCCAATAACATAAAACAAGAACGAACTCCACAGATTTTACGAGACATAGCTATTACACCACTATTATTATTATTATTATTATTATTATTGTTATCACTACATTCTAAATTGTATTCTAAGTAGTAGCCCTCATCTGCCGAGATTTAAATGACGGTTGAATCCTACGTAAATTCACGCCGATCTTCATCTGCATACACACTGGAAGATGTTATTGAGGTTTATTTTTACCTTCAGGTAGTATTTATAACATTTGTCTTTGTTTTTACATGACTATTTATCTTTTGGTTGCTTATTTTTTACTGCCTTGTAAGTGCTTGTTATCTTCGCATAATTTTTGTCTTCAAAAAAGAAAGAATTAATAGAACAGATACTAAGTAACGACCTCCATGGAGCCGAGCCCTTCTTGAGAAACCGCCATTTGCGCACCTACTAAAAAACTTCGAAACATTTTTTGGAACACAGAGGTTCATTGCCGTGTTCACAAGAGCCCTCCACTGGTTTGTATCAAAAACACATACAAAAAGGATACAAAAAAGCAGAATGACAAGTTACCAAACACATTTCAAACTGCTCTCACACTACACAGAGTTACATCCCAGAAGACAGGACTTGTCATGCTGCCTTTGTTACCAATTTCTTTTTGGTTGAGAGGGGTGGGGGCTCTGTGGCCCATGTCATGGTTCCTTTTGTGGCCTGCTGCAACCTGAGATCTCATTTATCCTCACTGAGGAACCCGGATGTCAACGGCGGTAAATTTATGGGACATTACCCGAAATACTGGCTGCTGTGCCACTCCCGCCCTATTGGCCTCGCGCCCCGTCACTTCCTGCAAGAGCAAAATAATTCGGCAGCAATGTAGCAAGGCCGTTCCCATGCGGCGCGGCGGCCCCCAGGTAAAAAAAACACCATCTGAATCTCCAGAGTTGAAAGGGTTATCAGATTGTTGTAATTACATGTCCAGAGCGCAGAATTCTTCCTACAGATCCAGTGTACATGAGGTTCACGTCAGCCTCCAGACACCGATACCGGTGTTCCTTGCTCCGGGGACGTTGCTCTGCTACGAAAAAGGAAAGGACTCGGTACTCAGTGGAGATGCTTTATAATTTGTAGTTAGATTTAATCTCAACGATGTCCTTGACTTGACAGTCTTGTGTACACAAGTTAATTGGTTTAAATTTGCCGGACCAGACGCTGTCTACACACGATCTAAACTTCTAACCACATTCATAAGATATATCGCGCCATGTTAAAGACATTTCGGCGCGTGAGTATTAATGGTTGATCAAAGTTACTTTAAAATTTACCGCCATGTTGCCCGCCGCTTTAGCGCTGCCAACCTTAGAAGCTTATTTTAGAGTATTTTTTTTTAATTCGCTTAGTGGGAGGTGGAGTCCTACTGGGTCCACTCGGCACGGCGGCCACTGATTGGCCTAATGTACCTGCCCCGGGTGATTATGATGATGGAGAATTTGGTGGAATGAAGATTGGCAGGAGAAACCGAAGTACTCGGAGAAAACCCGCCCCAGCGCCACTTTGTACACCAAAAATCCCACTTGACCAGACCCGGGATCGAACCCGGGCCGCCGCGGTGGGAAGCCAGTGACTGACTGCTTGAGCTATGGCGCTGCTATTCCACCAAATTCTCCATCATCATAATCACCCGGGGCAGGTACATTAGGCCAATCAGTGGCCACCGTTCCGAGTGGACCCAGCTGGACTCCACCCCCCAGTAGCGAATTTAAAAAAAATAGTTCATCTTACATGTCATATATGCCCTGTGCGTAATTAATTAATGGCCATGCCATGAAGAGAAGGAGAGGGCATTTGGCTCCATCATTCTTGACCTTGGCACTAGATGGAGGTGAAAGGTCAGCTTCACGTCCCGACCTCTCTTACCCCTGGGGAAAGAGCCTCCGGTACCCGTTGGATAGGAGGCTGGGTGGGACCCAAAGCCTGTCTGGATGCTGTGGATAAGAAAAAAGAGCTATAGCCCCTGCCGAGAATCAAACCCCGGCCATCCAGCCTGTAGCCCAACGCTGTACCGACTCAAATAGTATCTGCAGTTGGTACAGAAGTATTCAGTTCAACAGCTACAAACCTATGCCAAAAGGTAGCAGAAAATTACGTTTGTTCAAGAGATGATAAAGGTGACTGCTGTGCGGACTTGAATGTGCTTCGTATAACTTTCGCAGGGCACACATGTGTCTAAACGTGTGTGCAGAGATGTGTATTCAGTTCAGTTGATTCATTACACAGAACAAATATTTTGCATTTGAAATGTTGAGCACAATATGAATCTTCACCCCACTTACTTACGTATGGAGCTGAGCCCTTTTTGAGGAGAAGCCAAATCTGCAGCTACTCAAGAATTTCCCAGCATTTCATGGAACCCGAAGGTTCATTACCATGTTCACAAGAGTCCTTCACTGGTCCCTATCCTGAGCCAGATAAATCCAGTCCATACCATCCCATCCTATCTAAGATCCAGTTTAATATTGCCCACCCACCTACGCCTTGGTCTTCCCAGTGGTCTCTTTCCTTCTGGCTTCCCTATAGGTATTCCTCTTCTCCCAATTCGTGTTGCACGTTCTGCCCACCTCATCCTCCTTGACTTGATCATTCTAATTAAACTTGGAGAAGAGTACACGTTACGCAGCTCCTCATTATGCAGTTTTCTCCAACCTCCTGTCCATAGTGCAGATGCTGACAGCTTCGTAGAATAACCCCACAAAAGAAAAATGCACGAAGAGGTTGTGAATTAGGTTACACTAAGGTCTAACCAATTTCTTTCGTTATCAGGTTAAATCGGTGTTGGCAGCCTTGGTAGCGCTTGTGTTTGCGACAGAAGGCAGATTCTTCTACGATTATTTGCCCCCATTGCTATTGGCCGAACACCCATATGCTGTGGATGAGTCGGTGGCCACTGTGCCGTTGGTGCTGGTGGCGCAAGATAGGCTGCAGGTGGTACCCGTGACAGATGTGCAGATTGCCGGGTATTCCCTCACTCAGCCTCTTGTCACGTTACTGGCACCAGACGTAAGTTACAATCACCATGTTCGTCACTCTGAGTACACAACGGAAACGTTTTAACTGAAATATATGCATATTGACTGTAGTGTTCTGGGTTATGACACCGTATAGTCTAGTAGGTGGATACCAACATTTCTAAGGAATGTGGTGCTTCCATCTTCACTGTAATCATTTACCCTGATGATAGAATGTTGTCATCCACTTAACCGTATCTTCCAAATGAAGGTAGCAGGTTCATCCAAAACATTGGTAACCATGTGTCAGTCAGCACAGTGTAAAGAATGTAATTTCTCCATTTTCTGAGTAAATTTTTATTCCAGAAATATCCCTCCACAACTATGGTAACTGCCTACAAGATTAGATGATGTCATATCCCAAACGACCACATTCCAAATCTTCATGACTGTAAAAATCTCGTATACTGATAAGCCAATGATCTCACACTTTAATCATATCAATTTAAGGCCAATTGTTTAGCTTATTACACTCTGAGAGGTAGCATATTCCTCTGAAATGGTAGTAACCATCAACCGGTGTACGCAATGTTGTAACTCAGAAGATTACAAGTTAAATCTTTACCAATCTCACATTATACGAGATAAATCAAATTGTTTGTATTACATGTACCTTGAAGATGGAGGCAGCAGTCTCTTTCAAACTGTTGGTAACAACCAACTCCACCTGTGTGGAGTGGTAACTCAGAACACTGCAATCCAAATGTTCATTGCCATGAAAACCTCAAATCTCCTTTATGGATATATTTACCTCCCTCACATCAAATTTCACATGCTGAGCAACATCACGGTAAAGTTGCCCACGTACATAAGCACATTTCATAAATGCATGTTGGAGTGGATGTGAAGCTCCATTCATTCCTGATTTCATCACTGCTGGAAACGAATAGCCAGATTTAAGGTTCAGCTGCTTTGTCGCCAAGGATGGAGTCCTTGATGCCTATTGATATGAGGCTAGGCAAACTTCTTAGCCAGTGCAGACACTAGTGCCAAAGAGTAAGGTCATGCCCATGTCAGGAACGAAATCTGTATCATCCAACCCATGGACAGTAATTTTACTAATTCAGCTACCACAGCACATGCATTCCTACAGTTATTCACCATTTGTCATTAATATAAAGTAGTGTCAGTTGTATAGTCGTTTTCCATTTTAAATACAAATAATATTGATACAAAATTGCATAGTTCTGAAAAATCACAAAAATTTACAGCATAGTGTGTTAGATGATGCTATTCTTACTCATACCTCAAAATTCCTTCTGTCTTATTTGTTGACATTGAAGATGAAAGTAATATGTTCCTCTGAAATGTCAGTTGAATTTCAGTGGACTACACAGTGTTACATTCCAGAAGAAGAGAACTGGCTCCTGGCTTTTGGAGGTGGCATAGGAAACTTGTGCAGGCACTGTTGCCACTTCATTTTTAGCTCCCTGGGCGACAGAAGGGGAGTCCAATTGAGCAATCCTTATCTTCACTTTAAATCAGATAGTTGTAGTGCATTTACATGCTGTGAAAATTTCAATCCCACATAGCACAGAACTGTTACTTGTCATGTAATCTGTATGTTGCAGGAGCCAGAGGCTATGCCTGCGGTGCAGTTTGCATTACCACGCCCAATCTGGGTGTCAGAGCCTGAGGTTCCTATCACATTTCCCTCAGCCTTCACCATTGTTCATGATGGAATCTGCATGCCCATTCCTGTGGGCGCTGTGATTGCACCTGTACCTGCTGGCATATATATCTCACACACACGCCCCATTGCTGTCTCTGTAGTGTACGCTGTTCCTACTGGCCCACTGCCACCTCAGTACCACCTCCCATACCCAACCAGGTGAGTGAGAACTGGCACAGGGATCAGATGTATTGAACCAACAGAACTGAAGAAATTTGTTCTGCAGAAGTCAATGAGTATGTCAAATTGGCACAAGAAATTAAGGATGTGATAATCAAGCCAATTGTGACAGGAATAATTTGACTTAACTTGGTACCACATGTTGAAGAATTAGAATTGTAGAAAATGCTTCCTGTCATTCAAAAATTTGTTCTAATGGACACATGCATTGTCACAAGATATTGTATTATATATTGCATTAACAAAGCAATACTTCATCGTGCAAGTATATAAAAGAATCCTTGAGCTGTATTCTTAATGTAGTTCTGAATATTTATAGACAGAAAGGCAAAGGTAAAGTTCTGCCTGTGCTTAACTAATTAAGCACTACACCATGAAAGCGTATGGGGGAGTGGATGTATAGATCTGCATTTTCTTGACCTTGGCACTAGTTGAAGGTGAGTGGTCAGCTTCACGCCCCTGCCGCTTTACACCTGAGGAAAGAATCTCTGGTACACATTGAATAGGAGGCTGGATGGGTCCCTACCGGGACTCAAACTCTAACCCCTCAATCGTTCAACCTTTAGCCAGTCACTATACCGACTGCGCTATCCTGACTCCCCTGCCAAACAGAAAGTTAACATTAAACTGGGAATATAATTCAGTATAGAAAAGCCTATTATCAGTGGGAAACTGAAAATATTAATTCTGGAACTGTATTTGTTCTATTTCCAAAGAAAATCGTTCCATACTCTAAAAATACAAATGAAATTTTAGAAAGAAATTGTATGGATGAACGTGTAAATTTCACAGGCTTATCGCAATGAATGCTAATTTAACTTGATGAAATTTTGGCATTAAGGCGTTTGCTACCCGAAGCAACTTATACCCACAGCTTCACTCATGAAGAAGATGTTTGAAGTGAATGTAATTGATTTTACATATTGTGTTAATGAAACAATTGTATGCCCAATAATTAATGCTGAAGAGCTATGTCTTCTGGGATATAACCCAGCACAGAGCACGTATACAATGTTTACTTAGAATGACCGATGCTATGACCTCCTAGAATATTAAACTTTCCTCCTGGAATACTCTGTATACTATTACACTATGTGGCTGAATGGCTGAATAGGTTACGGGTATACATTTGAAAATCTGTTGCTATGACAAATCATAATGGCATAATTTCACAGCTTTTATAAGTCTGACCACAAAAACGTTTATTTGTTCCAACATCAAAATAGCATTAGATTTCAAGGGAATGATTAGTCAACTCAGTGACTGCTTCATTTCATTATCAATTTCCATCAACACGGAAATACTTACAGAATTCTATGTGTAAGCTATGATGAAGATGATGATTTACTCCTGCCTGGACAACTGAGAAAGAAAGAGAGACAATAATGAACAGAACTTCACATGTGTTACCTCAGTGTCAATTTGTTGAGTGAGTGACACATTTGCTACTTCATTAACACACATAACAAGGCCATGCCATAGCTCAAGCGGTTAGTCGCTGGCTTCCCGGGTTCAATCCCGGGTCTGGTCAAGTGGGATTTGTAGTGGATAAAGTGGTGCTGGGGCTGGTTTTCTCCAAATACTTCGGTTTCCCCTTCGAATCTTAATTCCACCAAATTCTCCATCATCATAATCACCTGGGGCAGGCTACAATAGGCCTATCAGTGGCTGCTGTGCTGAGTGGACCCAGTGGGACTATGCCCCCAACTAAGCGAATGCACATAACGTTCCTATGATATATTGTAAAGTGTCTTGACCTATCTGCAGGAGGCCCAATGTAACAACAGACAAGATCCCTGAGGTAGTGACAGTAACAACTAGCCCAGAGAAGCCGCAACCAACTCCTGAAGGAGTGGCAGTGACATCTAGCCCAGAGAAACCAAAACCAACTCCTGGAGCAGTGACAGTGACAACACGTCCAGAGAAGCCACAGCTGATTACTGTGTTAGACTTCCCATCCACTGTTCAGACCCCACCGGTACTTGTCTTCCAGCCACCAACAGACTCTGAGCTTGAGAATCGTAATCCGCCCCAGGGAGTTGTTCCTGCAGGCATTGTGCAGTCTGCTGCACCCACACCAAACCTGTCCGTCTTCATCAACTCGAAGGAATCTGCTGTGCTGCAGGAACTACGTGACAAAGCAAATCGTCTGAAGGCATCGCGGACCTAACAGAAACAGTGAGAAGAAAAATCCAGAGTTACCAATACCCAAATAACAATAACATAGCTCCATTTTGTTGCTTGGAACTTTGTGTGTTTAAACAAGCAGTATATTTTTGTATGTGATAAAAGTATGCATGTACTATGGCAGTCAAGACTTAATGTCAGTGTTATTATAGGTGCAGACAGCAATGGTACTGACTCCCCCCCCCCCAAAAAAAAACTGGGTGCTTGTTTCATAAGCATCTTATGAAAGACGAAAGTTCTGTATAGTATGTAATGCCTAATTTTTTAACTATAATCAGTGAAATCATTAAACATTCTTGCTCCTTGGTTCTGTGATCCTTAAATGGCTTCCTTTGTGACTGATGCCCGTTCTTTATTATTAGACACTGGCCTCCATCTATTCACTTTCAGCCCATATACGTAAATCATTCCCTATGTCTTCCACTAATCTTAATCTGGGCTCTCTCTTCTTTTCTTCTACCTTCTGACTTACTTTCAAATTTGTCCTTCCACACCTGTTTGATCCAGTCTAATCACATATCCCAATTGTGCCAGTATTCTTTTAATTTTGGCTACCAGGTTAGGGATTTTATACAATTCCTTCAGCTCTGGTTACTTCGGATTCTACTCACTCCTTGCTCAGTTACTGATGTGTACATGTTCTTCAAGATGTTCCGCTCACAAATGTTCAGTGATACTCTTGCTGCTTACTTTTTTGGGGCCTTTACGTTGTACGCCACGCTATTACCGTCCTCCCTTTATCCTACGTCGTGCTCCACTTATCACCATCCTCCGTCCTCTTGTGGATGTCGAGAAGTTAGGTGGGAAGGGAGGAGAATTGTGGTTATTGGAGCTGGTACGCGAGAGCAGGTAAAGACGGGAGTATCTGGGTTCTGTTCGGTAATTTGTAGAGCTGAGTTCATATCCCGGGTCTTATACGGGTCTGGCTCGGGCAGGGCAGGAAGAACCTTTCACTACAATCACACACACCTCTTTAGACCGTTGCACTTAGTAGTCCTTTAATTCCCTCCAGCTTACTGAATACAACTGAATTTATTAGTACACTTAATTTGAACTTTACTTATAATACTTTTACGGAAGGGCTGTAGTTGTAAATTTTGTGTCTGACTTTGCCGAAAGTTGTATGAAGACTCCCCGAGGTGGAATGCACTCTCTCTGAATCCTGAGGTCCACGAACCCCAGACCCCAAGAGAAATCCACTCCTCCACTTCTGCCATTGGTTAAGTTTTCAAACTAGGAGGTTCCCTAAATTTTGAATTCCCAATCATGTTGCTCTGCTATGTGATTCTGGCAGATGCTGACCTGACGCTAAGGTTGACAGCCCCTTGATGCATTACGATCAGGGTATGAGGCTCCGGCAGTCCCACTTTTAAGTTATCACTGTCCCAAGCTGTCAGCTTTCAAATTCTCAAAGACTTTCCCACTTTGCTGAAACTGCCAGAATTCCAGGAAAGTACCAGATGTTACTTCCTGTCCACATAGCAAAACTTGAACTATGTCCCTTCTGCGTGTAAGAGCTGGCTATCTGCCGGATCTCTTTGTTTATAATTTTGTAATCTTAACTTAATACAGATTTAATTAATGCACAATAGTCCTCCAATCAGAATGAACGGTTACAATACTTTATTGTTTTCAGTCATTGATCATGCTTCACATGTATACATCACAACCAGGAACCCATATTATTCCAACTCATTATCACCAGTAATCTCAAGTTGTTTGTTTGTTTATTCCCAGCTGGGAAATCACAGAGTTACAAGTTGCATACACAGTGATGTTACAACTTATCCCAAAGTAAGTGATTTTTGTGAAGTATGCTTGCTGTAAGGTGGTTTAGACACCTTAAAATAGGGATTTCTGAGCTACCATATATTACATGTTTTCTGTAACCAGTACAGTATGTTAATGAGAAAAGTGATCTAGTCACCTTACAGCAGTGATATCCAAGTTACCATATATGACATGTTTTCTGTAACCATTACAATATGTTAATAAAAGAAGTGAGTTAGACACCTTACAATGGTGATATGCAAGTTACCATATATCACTTATTCTGTAACTGTCACAGTCTGTTAATAAACTCCTTTAACCTCTTAGTATTGGAATCTTCTTTATTTACACCATTACAGAACTCAAGTTTTGTCCATATATATATATATATATACAGTGGAACCTCGCTTAACGAGCACCTCTCATAATGAGTAATTCGCATAATGAGCAAAACAAACTAAAAAAATGACTCGCTTAACAAGCGGCGTTTAGCATAACGAGTGACAAGAGGGGAAGTCCCGGATTGTGCGCTTGCTACATCAACCTGTGTTTAGCACTCGTTCCGCTAGCATCTTAGTGTTGCTTGTGATCACACAACTTGTGTTCAGACATATTATTTGTGATTTCTTTTGTGCAAAGTTTAATAACCCTTGCAAAAATGTCCCCAAAGAAAAAGCCGCAAAAAGACAGCCATAAGAGAATAAAAATAACCGTAGAAATGAAACGTAAAATCATTGAAAAGCGAGAACGAGGTGTGAGCGTGG